CTTAAGATTAATTAAGGCTAAAACGCTCGCATCCCACGGTGTCCCGCGATGTCCCACGATGTCGCACGGCGCCCCCGCGGGGGGGTCTTAGTCCGGTCTAGATCACCAAAACTATTTTGGATGATCAAGACCAGACTATATTGAAGTAGTTTTTAGCTTGATATAGTTTCTCAAATAATAATACTAATATTCAAAATAGTACTTGGTGTATTATTATTTGAGAAACGATACCAATTACCGGGACCCACCACGAGGAGGTAACTACGCTGGGGTCCCATTTACATAAACAGTTTTTAAGCATTGGAAGCAGAGATGTAAAATTATTTTATAGTATAGCGACATTGTAGCGGCGATATTGTTTTGTCCGGAGTTTATTTGTTCTTACATTACTTGCAATCTAACGGTCTTGATACTCCGAGGCAAAACAACAACATGATTTGAAATGTCCTCTGACTTATGTCCAGCTACAGATAAGATGTGGTTGCCTTCGGTTAAATTGCACTCGCTTCCTTGATTCCACGAATATGGTGTTGTTTCCTTAGTTTCGAGCAGACATGGAAAATTACATCTTAAGTTTACACTCTGTGTTAAGACAGGTTTTATACGAAATAGTGAAATGAGAAATTAAATTCCGTATTTAAAATTAAAAAATAATGCTATATAGAAATAAAATAGTACTTCAAAGACTCGATAGATTTCGTTAATAAAATGAAACAAAATAAATCATTAATTCACTCACTACGAATTGATGGTATTGATTTAAATCAATGAATGTAGAGCTACAACCGATTAACGGTACAACTGTTATAAATTAAGAGCATAACTACTTTGAATTAATGGGAGAGAGTGGTTATAAATTATTGGTATAACTGTTAAGAATTAATGGAGTAATTGTTTTAGATTAATGGTTCAAATGTTTTAAACTAATGGCTCAGATGATATAAATTAATGGTCTAAATGTTATAAATTAATGGCTAAATGTATAAAATAACAGTTTAAAAGTTACACATTAGTGGCCTAGACGTTAAAAATTAATAGCTTAAATGTTATAAATTAATAGCATAAATGTATAAAATAACTGTTTAAATGTTGTAAATTAATGGCTTAGATGTTGTAAATTAATAGCTTAAATGTTATAAATTAATAGTATAAATATATAAAATAACATTTTAAATGTTATAAATTAATGGCTAAATGCATAAAATAACAGTTTAAAAGTTACAAATTAATGGCTTAAATGGTATAAATTAATAGCTTAAATGTTATAAATTAATAGCATAAATGTATAAAATTAATGGCTTAGACGTTATAAATTACTAGTTACAATGTTGTTATTTGACATTTTTTTTATTTACCTTATATTT